TCCATGTTCTTTATTCATTCTGCACACAGAACTCGCACTTACAAATACAATTTATCTTAATGAAAAAAGGCTGGAACTCTCTATTTTTCAGTTGAAATGGAGGGTGGGTGCTTCTTAAAATCTAATGTCTTGGTCTAAAAAACCCCCACTATTTATATGTATATAAAATAATTTTTGATTAAAAAAAGTATTGATTATTTTGCATATAAAATGAAAGTAATGGATAGTTCTTATTGCTAATCCATTTTCTGTAATGTTAGTGTAATTACAAAGTTGGTGTAATTAGAGCAAAGCATGTAATGTGGTTATGTTGACACTTGTGCAGCACTGACAGATGATGCAGAAACTGAATGTTTGAAGTATCTTTTCCTGTGTCCTCCCCCCCGGCCCCAATCTCCTCTTTTTCCCTTTTTCAGTTCTGCTTAAATACTACAGTTGTTTTGTGTGCTAGGAAATTAAACATTCTTGCCTTTCAGCCCTGCAGTATTTTAACAGCCACAGGAGAGAAAACAGTTGATGCTTTTCATTTGAACCATTGTAAACCAATGGTGTATCTCATTTTTTCATTTCTAAACAGCTTTCTGTTCATTGTTCGCAGCCTCACAGAGGAGGTCTTTTGGGTGGAGAGGTAGAAATGCTTCACTTCTTGTATTTGCTAGAGATGATAGTTAGCATTTAGATCTCAAGTTAAATATTGTTGGTTAGCATTTAGCTTTTTGTCAGTGGTCAAGTCCACAAAATGACTTTTGCAGTGAGCAAAGGTACCACAAAGGACTTCTATAAAAAAGCTTTTCATTCTGTTTAACACTGACTTAAAGGTCAACTGGACTAGAATTCAGTTAAGGATTGGATTATATTTTTTTTTTCTTGTGTGTATGCATGACTGAACATACAATGATGGGTGCAAAAATGCACATTCTCTCTTCCCTTTAAAACAAACCCCCTAATTTTCAAGAGTTTACATGAATCAAGTTTCAGTAAAACTGCTGTCTTACTGGTAGTGAAATGTAATTATTAGATTGATTTTTGTAACATTGAGAGGTCATGGTTGGCCATTGCCCTTAAATAGAAAGTAATGCCAGTTCTTCATTGTATCTGAGCCCACTTAATTTGATAAAGAAGCAGATTGACTTTTACACCATGTTAACCTCAGTAGGTAGTTCTGGATCTCGCAGTTTAGCAGGGCCCATGAATATATGAGAAAAACTAAATATTTTAAATTGATACACTAGTAATGTTTGGTCTGCGTAGTGACACAGTCAGGTTGAAGGACAGCCAGTGTCTTTTTTTTTAAAGTATATCTCATTTCCAAAACTGAGCTAGTGTAAGCATGATGTGATCTCTGTCAAAAATGGAAAAAAAAACCCCAAAGCTGCATGTTGCGATAATATTGCCAGGCACATGAGCAATCCATAGAAATACTGTGTCCTTCAGGAAACACATGAACTAAGCTAAGCACAAATCTGAATTTCACACTTGGTGGAGGACAAAGTAGCTAATCAGAAGAGGAAGTTTCAATTGCCTCAGTTGAAAACTGAAAGTGTCATAAAGATACCGTAGGACACCGTCAGAGCTCTTGGAAAGCTCTGTCCTTATCTGCTCTTTTTGCAGAAAGCACCCTTGATTTGGGGAAGATTAAACTATCCAAAAATGACATTTTACAGATACTGAATTCTCTCACTTTTTTTTTTTCTTTACCTTCTTCCTAAAAATCTATGTGAAAGCATTAAGTGAGTTTGGAGGGGTGGAAATACACATTTAAAAAAACCAAACCAAAACACCTTTTATGAGAATCCAGTTGACTTTTAAAATCTTTATTTTCTTAAACTCTCACACATTTAACTTCCATGTCTTCCATAACCATAGAATTCTGGTGATGCTGTTTACTTGGAAAACACAATGTTATCTTTACGATGTCTTATCCCTTTGCAAACCATCAACTGCAGTTTGGGCTTTTCGACATTTTAAGTGTTGGTACATCTCTTTGGGAAGAGAACATTTAAGCATTGTCTTTAAAAGACACGCTTAAGATTGCGCTTTGACTTGAGTCTTTGCAATCTGTATCCTAATATTTGTGAGTTTGGAGTCTGAGCATAAGCATTTGTTGTGCTAATTTTTTAGTTACTGATTGAGCTATTCATTGCAATTGGAGCAGTCTGTTTACAAACCACACTGGAAAATTTCTTGTGGTGATTCCCAGTATTTCACAAAATACATACTTGTTTGTTGTAATCTGGATTCGCAAAGCGTAAGAGTATGGGAAGGACCTAAGTTTCTCTGAGCTGCATATCTAATATGACTGCAAAATCCATGGGTTTTGCTGCTTTTTGTCACTTTTTTTTTTAGATAAGCAGAATTCAGCTTTAGGAAACTGGACACAAGAGAGATAGGAAAGATAATGCTCTAAGTAATTAATCACTTCATCAGTGCTTTCTTTTTAAAATACAAATGTAGAAATCCTATAAGCAGAAAGCAGACTAATTCTGACTGCATGTTAATATTTTAACACTCACTAGGCAAAAAGCGAATGATTCCATAATTGAAGTGTTGAAGTGGCAGAGCACACCAAGAAGCTTAGCAAGTAAACTTCCAGAGTTTAAAACAGGGGAAAAAAACCCAGCCCTAGGCTCTTAAGAGTGCTGTCAGTGAAAAGGGATGAGACATCTTAAGGCGCACAGGACTTCCTTGATACTGGATTGCTTTCCATAAGCAGTGGTAAGCAGTGTCACCAGTCTTCACAGAGCATGGCTCGTGATGACGGTCTCGTTTCAGTCCACCACGGGCAGAATGAAAGGCCTCCATTGGGATGCAGCTGAACTCACCTTTGAGATTAAACAAACGCCCCTTCCACATTTGACCCGCTTGGGCCATACTTCAAAAGCATGCTACTGGATACGAATTTCAACTGTATTTTTAAACTTGACCACTGCACCATGATTTTTTTTCTTGTTATCTTGCTTTGTCATTGCTTGCTCTCTGCTGTAGCATACTGCTTGTAGGCAGTACCTGTACGTACGACCTTGTATCATTATTTACTTAGTTTTAGCAAATGTAAGTACTCCACATCCCTTTCTGTAGCTGTTGACTGCATGGCACTGCATGTGAAGTCATCTTTTTTGTTTAGGCGATCGTAGAAATCTGTGTAGAAGATCTGTGTTCCTGTGTGCAGTGCTAGCTTGGAGCGTACATTGGAAATACAGTTTGTGTTTCACTGCTTTTGCCGTGCATTGCATGTGTGTGTTGCTGTGTATGCCAAGTTACAGGTACTGCAGGATGTGCAGTTTGGGTAATTAATTCACTTCAAGTAAGTACTAAAAAAAAATTTTAAAGAAAAAAAAAAATCTGCTTCCCTTAGCCAGAGACTTGTATACTGGTGGCTTGTGCCACCTATACTGTTCTGTAAATGCAGTCTAGTTGTTTTGCTCAGAACCTACAGAAAGGCATGAGATCAGCTGAGTTTGAGACTGCCAGCTTGTACACACTCACTCGTGTTCTGGTTGTGGCTTCTTAGCCGACAATCATTTGTAACTACCATGGGGCACATTTGAAAGATTTTTAAAGGGACTAGTTCCTCCTGGGAGTGTTGGTTTGTCTTTTTTAAAGAGACTGGAAAGGACATGATAGGAAGGGAGGTTTTGGATTGTTGAATGAAGAAGCCATAGGAGAGTGGCACAAGGCAAGTGTCTTTTGCTTAGTATCGAAGGACACTTCAAAAAGAAATGAAGCATCAACATTTCTGATGGGAAGACAGTGACTAAATACAGATGAGAACAAATTTCCCTTTCTGAAGAAGAAACAATTTCAACACTAAGAATTCATCTTTAAGTCACACCTCCATTTACAAATGTATTAAGTTACACCAACATGTAGTCCTCTCAAAGGGATCTTGAAACCATGCTCCAGCTACAGAGGGCACTTTTTTTGTTTCTTTCTAAGATGAAGCTGAGAGGATACATGTTAAGCCTAAACACTAGCTTCTCCTGCTTCAGAAATACATAAAGGACTCTTTTTGAAAGTTGTGCCCTGTGGGTTCATGAGTGGAACATGGGGATTCACTCCCTGTTTAACAGCCTCAAGAACTTTAGCCTGTAGAATAGCTTTTGGGTCTGTATGAGCCATCCCCTTGAACAGGCTCCAGAGGCTCCTTAGGCTTGTGGCTTTACTTGAGCCTTTGATCACGCAGTTTTGGAGAGGAGGGGAAATTTTTGCATAGCTGTTTGGTAGAAATGCAGCTTCTCTGCTGTCCCTTTTTGAAATGAAAAGACATACCCTGTGTAACCGTGCAGGGCTGCAGTTCCCCAGTTCAGAGTAGAGGAATCTCTCAGACATAACCATTTCAGCATCCCCTTTGGTGTGCAGGGCTTACTTAGCACCCCTCTTTTATCAAGGCCATTCAGCAAGGGCCTCTGCATATTTACTAAATTATTTAGCTGAGATTTCATACTGGTAATACCTAGTTCTCTTGTTTTCCTCCTTTTTTTTTTTTTTTTTAATGATGCCTCTTTGGATGAGCCAGATAAGTTTGACTCAGTCAAAGCAAACTTCAAGGAGCTCGAAGTTGGCTATATTTGTCAGGGAATGACTAGTCTCACTCTAGGAATAAGCATCTTTTGCTTCAATATGTTACGAAGCTATTGCTGTCTATATGGGCAGCCAGTTAGCCTAAAACCAACTGGTTTCCAGAAGGTTTTGTATTTAGTGTTTCAAAAGGCTGCAGCTTAAGTGCATCCAAAACTAGATGAAGAAGATAGGATTGGAACAGCTAAATTCATCTTAACATAGCATTATGTTTTAGAGTAGTAGTTGGTAATGTCCCCTGGACTCAGATGTTACACTACCTTGTCATGGCAAATGTATTCTCTTTGGCTTGGCAAACTGCATAAGAATTGGTATTGTACTGGTTTGGACGATGTGCTACAATAGTTTGGAACTGGATCATAAATTCCTCTGCTTCCCCTTTTAAAATCTAAACCTCTTCTGTTTATGCTCCTCCTAAATCAGGATTTGGTGTCTACACAGGCAGAAAACGCAATTCACTGACTCCTAGATCGACTCTATTTCCTTGTCCGGGTTGCCAGCGGGATATTGATCTTGGAGAACGTGGCATCAATGGCTTATTTCGCAACTTTACTTTGGAAACCATTGTGGAAAGATACAGACAAGCAGCCAGGGCAGCCATTGCTATTATGTGTGATTTCTGCAAACCTCCACCTCAAGAGTCCACAAAGAGCTGCATGGACTGCAGCGCAAGCTATTGCAATGAGTGTTTCAAAATACACCATCCTTGGGGAACTGTGAAAGCCCAGCATGAGTATGTAGGACCAACCACCAACTTCAGACCCAAGGTGAGTGTCCTGTATCTTACAGAATTTGGGTTGCAGCATTTGCATATAGCTTCAGACATATCTGTGCAATGGTGGTTGCTTTTTAGGACCACTGTTGTATTACTATTTCTGTTATTTATTGAGTGAACCGTAAGGTGTTGTTCTTGTTGATGCTGAAGTGGTTACCATTGAAGAGGACATTGAGAACATATTTGAAGGCAACCCTAAAAATAAGGATTTTTTACTTTGGGGAATGGATTGTGTTATTTATGATTTTGGTCTTTTTTTTTTTCTTTTTTTGGAAGGCATAATGATCTTGAACATCTAGAATTGCAGTGCTTTTCTCTAAAAGTCAGGTCAAAGAGGATACTTGTTTGCAGTAAACTTAAAAAACCCAACACAACTGGCCTCCCCTTTGCCCCCTTAAGGCAGGTTCCCTTTGGATGTTTTGTGCCTGAACTTGATCCATCACAAAGCTGTCACAAAGCACCTTCTTTCTCTCCTCCTTCTTTGCATCTAGCAATAGCAAAAGGTGGAGTTCAGGTCTCCATTGGTTTTACACCCTGTTAGGTTTTGGCTATAGCAGAAGAGAAAAACATAATGGCAAGTTTTCTACTTTACACACTGCTGCTGCTTTATTCAAATAAAACATTTGAGTGAGTGCAAAGTGTTGTTACCTGTGTTTCTCCTGCTAAGCATGGTGCAGAACATGGCAGTTCCTTACTGAATTTCAGTTACACAAGGGGAGGAATTGTCACAGCTGCCATCTCACTAACAAGGGACCACAGTAGGTCTTAATGTCCCCGCACTTGCTGCATGCCTGTGGCTGGTGACCTTGCTGGAGGCCCCACAGCAGAAATGACGATGTTGAAGGAGTTCTGATTAATTTTGATTAAATTAAGTAGATTTGTTTGATGTGCAGTGCGTAAGAAACTCTTGACTGGTAGTGTACCTTCTTTTCTGAGGCTGGAAAAATTTGAGCCTCAAAAGCTAGTGAGCTGGCAGATAGTGAACATCCAGAAGTCCACTTAGTGCTGTTTTTCTTGAGTCTAATAGATTCATTCCAGTTAAGAACAAGCATGTGCCTGATGTGCTTTAAAATTCACTAGCACACAGCTATCTTTGTGAAATTGGAAAAATGAGTAAGGTAAAAGTTTGTGTGTTGTCTTCCAGCACGATCTAAAATGCTGTACAGGTCCTTAAAAACTTTGCTTCTGTGGTATCTAAACCCTCACTGCTGCAAACTTGCTACTTAAAAATACCAAAGGCATCTTGTGATCCTTGTGTACTCTTAAATGTACTATATGCTGGTACACTACATGTAGACTCAATCTGGGTTTAAAAGTCAGTAGCGGAATTCTGTTGAAGCAGAGTAAAAGAGGGAGAAGTGGTCTAGATCATCCTGACCTTGATGTATCAAGTGTGTGCACGCATGTGTGGGATTTAGCTTTTTCAAATTATATGTGAAGACAGATGTACTGTTTAAAAAAAGAAAAAACAAAAGCATAGTATAGTTAAATCAACTATATATACATCTACTTTGTAGAAAGACTTCCTAACAACAGTAAACTGATCTTTACTGTGCTCTTAGTTACTTCGAGGACTGTTTAAGCTTAATATAAAGAAAGAAAAGTGCATTTTTCATTGCATTGCATTGTTAAGACCTGAACTGAATGCACAGTGTATTTGCTGGTCTCCTAAACAATGTTCCCAGTCATCACTTTAATTTACAACCAGACTGGAGAGCACTTTGTAACGTGTGTGGTGGGGATGGGAGAAACACATACTGGGCTGATTGTTCTTGAATTTTGAGAGAAATAGGCGAGGTAATCTGCTGACCTGTCTCTAGTTTGCAGGCTGTAATTCTTGCTTATAGGAGGAGATGAATAAAAATATGTTGTTTCTGTTAGGTGTGACTGTGTACTGCTGTGGAAAAAACTACTTCCACAGACTAACAGCAAGACTGCAGTTTTTGCAGATGTCTACTTGCACAGCTGATTTTCCTGAAAGTTTCCTTTTCTTTTCTCTTTCCTCTTTTGTTTTGTTTTTTCTTTTTTCTTTTCTTTCCAGCAGTCGATGACAACGAGATAGTTTATCAAATACTCTGCTTAATGACAGTCTTAAGTACCAAGGCACTAGTGAGACTGGTGTCTTTGGGCTTTTCACTGTAGCCTACGGTAACATTTGGGGTTTGACAGGTGTTTTTGGAGACAGTCTGCAATTTTAGCTTAGTGTGTCCATATTTATACTACTCACAATTTTCTATGTTTGCGCCCTTTCCTGTCCTTTTTTTTTTTTTTTGGGGGGGGGTGTGTTTTAAAAGATGATACTTTTAAAGCTTGACTGTTGGCACTGCTGTCTTGTTCTTCTCCTTCACATGAAACTGAAAAGTTTTCTCAACAGCTCTTCTTTGGTAACAGGGAGTACACAGACTCAAATGTTTTCTTTCAGTGCTCTGGAATGAGGCAAAGCATATTTTTTTTAACACCCACCACCACCACCTCCCCCCTCTTTAAAACAGTTTTATCTGTTGCTTGATCTTGGAGTTGAGCAGCACTTTTTTTTTTTTTACTCTTTGAGCAGTTATTTCAACATGTTCAGTTTTTGAAAGATGATTTTTAGCAAACACCAGCTTTTTTGCAATGCTGTTTAAGCTGATACTGGAATTGGTGCTCAGCACAAACAACTTGTAACTGGAGGCAGACAGAAAAATTGAAACACTGGAGCCTTTTGTCTTTAAAATGACTGTGACTGGTGGTGGTGGCTGCATTTTGTTTGTTGCTCCAAGAGCAACGGCTATGTGGCTGATCAGAGTCTAGCTTAGACTTAAATCATTACTGTATTATGTCAACCTTTGCTTTAGGAAACATTTCATAGCTGTTTCAAGAGATGCTGGCATGGACATGGTTAAATTTGACAGGGTGGGTGTGTTATACATTGCATTTGCAGTCCTGAACAGGAGTGTAGGGAACTTCAGGGATTAGGAAAACAGTTAATTGCAGTGTGGAAGCTATGTGATGTGTACACAGACATTGCTACAGATTTACTCACTGTAAACCTTGTGAAACTGTGTGTTCATCTGCTGGCTTTCACTGGCAGAGACAAATACAAAACGTGGCAGATAAACTTACTACAACAAAATCCACTGATGAAATCAGACACTGCTGTGGAATGAGTGTGTTTTGATGTTTTGTTGAGCACCTCAGTTTTTGGAAGTATACTTGCATTCTCTTTGCTCTCTTTTTTTTCAGATTTTGATGTGTCCAGAACATGAAATGGAGAGGGTAAACATGTACTGTGAAATCTGTAGAAGGCCTGTTTGTCATCTTTGTAAACTGGGTGGATGTCATGCAAACCATAGAGTAACAACCATGAGCACTGCCTACAAAACCCTTAAGGTAAAAGTAATTAGTTGGACCTGGCCTTCAGAAAGGGCAACAATACTGAGCTTCTGGTGTAAGGGCAAACTCCCTCTGGCAGGAAACCAGGACATGTGTTCAGAGGACACTGAGCTCCTCATGAGGCAAGCTGTTGTGCAACATCTGTTAATGGATATATTAGTGTGACGTAGTGCGTGTCTGAGAAAGTAAACTGCATTTTCTGTGAGGCTTGAAACATAAGCCTTTAAAAGTGCTTTCACCTTATTTTAGCCAACTGTACAGCAGTACTGACTAATGCAGAAGGTTTAAGCAGTTAATGCTTTACAGTGGAGCCTTTTTAAGATGTGTCCTTGCGACTTAGGTTAGCTGAAACTTTAGAAGCACTCTTGAAAAATTTGCATCTGAAGTAGCTGTTGGGACCTTGTGCATTTCTGAAGTTGCATAGCTGTCAATACAGGGAAGCCTTGCAAACTTTGCTTTGTATTAAAGAATGATTGCTGCTACCTCTTCTTCCTTTTCTTCCTCTCTTGCTCACAAGAAAAGGAAAAAAAAAAAAAAAGATCCCAGCCCAGCCTGCCTTCTGCTCTTTGGCCTCCTTGCTTGTTTGCAAGGCTCTTCCTGTACAGCTGTTAACTCTTGCAACTAAGGAAGTGCAGAGACACTCATAAGTTTGTGCTCTGAACCACTCATTTTTCTAGCAAATCTTACTACAAATGAGTTACAAAAGTTACAAACTTACAAGGCTTTTCTGTGAGTTTTAGTAACATCATGAAGCCTCATGTTCCTAGCCTAAGAGAGGGTGACTCCAGTGGCTGGGGAGGAAGGAGCCAGCTGAAGCTGTTACCTCTTGTCCTTGGAGGCTGTGCCCCCAGTCTTGCTCACAGCAGTAGCCTGATGTTCCTGTGCAGTCATTGCAGCAATTCTCCATGGCATTCCT